AAGTTCTCCACATAATTCTGATGAACTGAAATATGTGAAGATCAGGGGCTTCCAGGAAGGTACTTTTTACGAGGCTGATGACCTGAATTCCATCCTGGAGACAAAATGATAGGAGGAGAGAACTGAGTTCTATGAGCTGACTTCTGACCTCCACATGTGTGCTGTGACTTCCCTATGCCCAAACATCACTGCCCAGCTTCAGACCATATACCAAGTTCCACTAGGCATGTCCTCTTAGATACCTCAACCCAACAATTCTGGAGCCACTCAAGAACCTCTCAATACCTCCCCAAATCTGTCCTGCACTTAATTTAGCAAATGCTACCTCTACCCACAAGTAGCATAACCCTTCCTTCTCACCTTCTGCACAATCCTCCAAGGCCCTAACATTTGAACAAGGTAACATTTTATCTCCATTCTCACTGTTATTTTTAATCATCTTAACTTACACATTTCTCAGCCCTTTTTTATCTAGTAATCTCTATGATCATAAGAAAGTCAAAGTGTACCACTTTAAATTGCTCAATAACTTCCCATTACATTTCAGGTAAAACCCAAACTCAGCCTGCCATGCAAAGTCCAATACCCTAGTTCCCTCAACAAGATCACCTTAGAGCCCTCTTCAACATGACCATCATCTTCAACATGACCATCATCGTAGTCCACATGGCCCTCTTCAATATGACCATCATGATGGCCCACATGGTCCTCTTCAACATGACCATCACCAGGGTCCACTGCTTTGAGTACATCTCAGCTTCTGAAAGTCTTCCTTACATAGGGACTGCTCCCTCCTGGCCTTCACATCTCACCCATCTAACACCTCATGTCCTTTGGCATCTACTAAAGTGTTGAAAGGCTCTTCTCAATTCCCTAATCCAAACTCAATTATTCTCTCTAATAATAAGCTTTCTCTTTATTATTAATCACATTAACCAAATGTTTGTTGTTTAACATGTGTCTTCTACATTCAGTACAAGTTATAGTGAGCTAGAGAAAGGCTGCATTTGTTATATGAGCAGTACTTAAAGCAAAGATATGAAACAGCAACAACCATGGATATTTCTGTGAAATTCTCCCCTCTGTCCTTCCTGTCCTCTCTTGGGAGCATTAACTTAAGTTTCTGGGTAGCCAGAGATGATTTCTGCAAGGAAGATACTTAAACCCATCATTTCCCTACTGACTTTACTGCAAAATTAAATGTACATGTATTACTACTTTCCTATAAAATTAACTTGAGGAACAGTTAATATTCAGCCTATATTCACTCACTCCCAACATTTAAGGCTGAGAAAACTACTCAGTTACATTTACAGATTCTAAGCTCCTGCCTCCTCTTACTGACAGAAGCATAAACCCATAACCATATCAGTAACCCATTCAGCACATTCTTGGTGCCATCCCTATTCAGCCCAGGTAACCTTGAGATTAATGATCTCAGCACCCCATTAGTGTTCTACCCTTGACATCCCCTCTTTAAGACCACTCTATACACTAAATATGGAGGTGAAAAAAATAGCCATCATAGAGAACCAACTTCTTGAGCATAGTGTGTGGCAATCCTAGCACTTTGGGAGGTGTGGGCAAGAGTTCAAAATGAATCTCAGCTACACAGCAAGTTTTGAGACCAGCCAGGACTACATGAGACCCAGATCCAAAGACGCAAAACTGAATAAGCAAGCATTCTTCCCACTTTCAAATTCCCAAACTAGCACTAAAATGCTTCTTGTGGACAACAAACCAGTCCTACCTTTTAATGGAAGCTTAAAGACTACACTGAATTATCTGTGCTTGACAGTGGATGCTGTTTCAAGCTAACATCAGCATGTAACTCATCCTCATCTTAAAGCCCAATGGTTTCATTGTAACTATAGTATAGAGTCCATGCACGTGTATGTATGGCAACAGCTGACCATCATTTCAACATTCTATATCTGTCACCTTGTCTATTTGCTAAAATTTACGTTAATCCTCAAATCACTACTCATGGACCTGTACGGTCATTTACAGACATACACAAGGGTTAAGACTGACTCTCTTGACTTGCATGTCCTTATTTTGACCCTCACACTCTTAAGTGTCCTTCCCATTGTGAGTGTAGTGTCATCTTTTCTCATTTGCTTTTTATTGGTGATTTCTGTGTTTAAAATAGCTCCCAGACACAGTGAGGTCTGAAGATCACAAGTACAGAGAGGCTATGATTTCCTTACAAAGAAATGCTATGGTAGATCTTCTCCATTTTGGCCTGAGTTGGAGACAATGGCATGCTAATGAATCACTAATATACATTAAATAAGGTGTCTTTAAACACAAATACACACAGGACAAGGCCGGCAAAAATGTTGTGAACCACGGCTTAAGTGGTTTCTAACCTATCATTTCCCCTGGATGCAATGATTCAGTATCTAAGCCCATGTTCATTCTGACTTTTGGAACACAATTAACTACATAGAGAACGACAGAAACTGGTTTACTGAAAAGACAAAGGGTTACTCTAAATGGAACACCTTTTCATACACACCTCAAATGACAGACAAATCTGACAATTACTGATTAATCATACTGAAATGAGAGTCAGCCTTGTGCTTACATCCTGCCTAACTTGCAGAATCACTAAGAGCAATGTAAATACTATTTCAACTGTATATTCTAGAAAGGGAAGACCTGCACATGGGAAGGAAGCCTAGCTAGGCCCTGGCTGCTAAAGACTTAAACCTGGTCCCAGGAGCCACGGTATAAAGACAGGAAATTCCATCTTTCATAAGAGTTTCTTCAACCTCTGTTTCCACCTACCACTCCATCACTCATTAAAACTAAATAAGTAAGTATTCCGAGGCTTTTGTGTTCTTTGGTTTGGGGACAAGGCATCTCTCTGTAGCTCTGCTGTCTTGGAACTTGCTAGGCAGACCCACAGAGATCCACCTGCCTGGGATTAAAGGAGACTACCACCACACCCTAAAACAAATGAGATAAATTTTAATGAGGCACAAATCAAAAGGTAAAGTGCTTGCCAAACAATCATTGGGGCCTAAGTTCAGATCCCCAGCTTCCATGTAAAAGCTGAGCACTGGGGCCTTCAGTAGCCCCAGTGAAGGCAAGGGAGGAAAGCAGGTTGGTCCCCTGGAGCTCACTGGCTAGCCAGCCTAGCAAAGCATATGGGTCCAATGTCTCAAAAATTAAGGTGGAAAGCAACTGAGGAAGACGCTTAACATTGTTCCGCACACAACTGTACACAGGCATACACCCACAGACACACAAACATGTACACATGAAAAACAAACACTTATGGCAAAAGTTAGTGGAAGCCATGCTTGTTGATAACAACCTGTGTGCAATCCCGGACCTGGAAGGCTGAAGCAAGAGGATGGAAAATTCAAGGCTTGCCTAGTAACTTAGCAGGACGCTGACTCAATTTTAAAAGGTAAAAGTCTGGTAATATGGCCCTACCTTCAATATCCCTACTATCACACACACACACACACACACACACACGTGCGCGCACACACACACTAACATTGATATCAATGTTTTGTTACTGAGTGTGAGGTAAGATAGGGCTACGTTAAAATTTGCATTCTATTGGTGAAATGTTAGTACTGCCTTAATACTAAATAGAAGACTTAACCTGAAATTCAGTGAGGAGGGTAACATTCAAGCTACACTTCAGTGAACTACTAAACTGAACGTATAGTGTATGGGTTAATAGCCACCAACAGCTACAGTCCAACTTAACCAACACCTGAAATTCACATGGAATCTAGAGCTAGCTAGCAAAGTCTACAATGTAGCAATCTATGAAAACCACTCACTGGACTCTCTGGAAATCTGGCAATCCTTTCCCTCCACTTCAACCAAGGTTCAGAAAGGGTGGCTATTCTGACCAAGGGCTTGCAACACCATGACACACACCCCTGATAATGTAAGTTTGCTTTTCCTGTATTTTATAGACTTGAAACCTCAGCTTTGTCTCGCACTGAAAATTCCTATTGTTCACAGAATTTCAAAAATACAAGTGGAATCTGTCTGGTTTTCAAACCATGTCAACATCCAGTCAGCAAATCAGAACATCAAAACTTCTCCTGACAGTCTCTTTTTCTTAGCTTTATTTTTTAATCATTTGCTTAGCAACAAGAAGTATTTCTCGTGGATTTTTCAACGTATTTAATACCCTTTACTCAAAACTTCAAAGTCAAGGCACGCAACAAGAAATCAGAAAGTATTCTCTACAAACCAATTACACCAGAAATACAAAAACTAAAGTCTAGCACCTTTTTTTAACATGGAGTAAACTTTTTTTGTAACTAGAGTTTTACCTGCCGTCATAACTTCTATCATACAATGAAAGAGCCATCCAAAACCTCACAAGAGAAAGTTAAACTACTCCCCTTCGCCTTTTAAAGTACTAACAAAATGACACACTGGATGGACAAAAACAGGACCTTGTCCCATAGAGATTCTAAACAACAGATAAATGTACATCAAGTTTTCTTCCCACCCCCACCCCCGCCCCAAGCAACCACTTAACTGAATTTGGGGACGATGCCAACACATATACTCATTGTCTGCATGCATGCAGTCATATACACAGGGGCTTGGGAGTCTTGTTTTGTTTGGGTTTTTAGCATAAACCAACCCCACGGCGGCTGCGGGGTCCACTGCCCTGCGTGTCGGGAAGGCTCGGACCCGAGAGCAACTAAGGACAGCCGCCAGAGCCACAGCTGGCAAAGCAGTGTCCCAGCACTGCTCCATCTGACCCTCTAATGAGTCACGGGTCCAATCATGACACCACATCACTTACTGGGACGTCTTCTATTTCTTCCCTCGCGCCAGAAAGAACAGAAACCGATTTCAAACTCCCGAGCAGGCAACCGTGCTCGCACCGGGGCCGCCGGCGGCTTCGAGCCCGAGCCACTCTCCAGCCGCCGGAGCTGGCCCCTCGGCCACCCACCGCCACACCCCGGCCTCCCTCACCTGCCTCCCGCCGCGCCCGACGCCCGTACCTTCGGCCAGCGACTCCTCCAGGGTGACCTGGTAGCGGCCGACGGCGAACACCCGGACCCCCACGGACGAGCCTGAGAAGCCGCCGCCGAGCCCGGCGCCCGCGGCCCCGCCAGCCGCCGCCCCGCCGCCGCTGCCCTCCGACTTGGGCATCCGAGAGAACTTCTTCATGGTCCCGCCGGCGCGCTGGAGGGCACCAGGAGGGCACAAGGGCGCGCGCGACACGGAGCGCGGCGGGGCGCGGCCGATCGTCCGCGTGGGGTCGCCGCCCTTGGCGCGCGCGAACCAGCGAGCGAGCGAGCTCCGGTGCGCAGCGGCTCGCCGCGCCTCACATTCCGCGCGTCCCGAGCGCGCAGCCCCGGCCGCCCGCCTGCCCGCTAGCCCGCTGCAGCTGCCCCGGCGCCCGCAGAGCGCGGCGGGGAGGGCGGGGCCGGGGCGGGGCCGGGGCGGGGCCTGGCGCGCGGGGAGCGAGCCGAGGGGGAAGAGGGAGGGGCCGGCCGAGGTGGGCGTGGCCGCCCGGCCCCGCGGCCTGCGCAGCCTGGAGACAGCAGCCGGCTGGCGCCCCGCTCGCACCGACGCCGCCCGCCTCTTGCGGCGGTTGGGGGGATGCGGCGCCGGTGCCAGTCTCTGGATGAGCCGGGCGCCTCGCGCAGGCGCGCTGCCCGCGCCGCCGGAAGTGACGGTTCCGGCCCGTGTCACGTGGAAGGGGAACGGGGAAGGGGGGGTCATCATGGTGGGGGCTGGGGATAGGAGTGGAGTCCGGGGTCCCGGTTAGGAACAGGAGGTGGTGCTAGCGCGGGTCAGCGGGGCTCCTCGGATCCGGGATTGTGTGTGTCGCTCAGGGGGGTCTTGAAATGCAGCCAGCGACTTGTCCCACTCGCGGAACGTCCCGCTTCGAGCGCGTTTTCCAGACTCTCTCCAGAGAAGATCGGTTTTCCGGGCGACCCGGAGCGTGGGCGGAGGAGCAACGCGGAGCTCGCAGGTTCCCGTAAGGCGACTTGCAAAGCCCAGGTGTCCTCGCACTGTACCGGATGTTTGCTCTCGGAAGCGTTCTGCGGTTCAAGAATTGCTTAGGAGAGAGCTTTAAAGGCCTTCTGTGTGCCATGTAGGAGCCATGCGGTTGTGTTAAGAACAGGTATTAGACCATTCTTAAAGATCATTCATCGCTATAGCCTGGGAAAACTTTAACCCAGTCGCCCAAGGTCACGCAACTGGTTGGTAGTGACCGGGAGCATCAAATTTCTTAAGTTATTCGCTTTTGGCCATTCTGAAAAAGTAGGTAATATCCGATTCTTACAATCCAGCAGGTTTAGGACTGCTTAGAAGCCGCAGTTTCAGGCCCCACCCTAACAAAAAGATTTGCCTCTTTGAAAAAAGAATTCCTCGGTTGCTCCCCTTTGATAAAGCGCAGGAGTCTCATGCCTCCACGGGGCCGGCATGTGGATAGAAGGCATTTGGGAGTGGAAGCGATAAGCAAAATACAGAGCATGTGGAAAGAGAAGGGAACTCTAGCTCTGGCCCACTTTCTGGTGGTTTTCCTTTGTGTGTCACAGGTGGCCTGAGCTGGCCTGGAACTTGTTACATACCCCGAGCCAATCTGTGGTCTTCCTTTCTCCCCCACTGTGCCCCATGTCCTGGGATTGCGATCCTGTGTCTCTACCAGGCCTGGCCTGGCTTCCTTTCTCTACGTGGAAAGCAGGTGTAGTGGCCCAAGTCTGATCCTCAGTGAAACAGGAACGCCACGAATTCGAAGCCAGCCAGGACAGCATGGCAAGATCCTTTTTATTGAAGAAAAAAGTAATTGTACTGGAAGTTTCCAATTTCCGAATCCAAAAATACAGATTTCTTTTCCACTTCGAATGTAGCATTTCTCCAGTTTTCTCAAATATAGGCCTAATAATGTTTCCTGACTCCCTAGCACACCTGAGAAAGTAGACGAACATGATACTATTATGCCCAGCCATATTTCTTTAGCTTACTTTTAATGAGATACAGGCAAAGGCAGTGGGAATTTGATTAAGCAAAAGACTTTCTGCTTACGGTCCTCGGTCCTTTCTTCCTCTCTGCTATTTGAAGAGAAGCTGTTTCTTCGCCGCTCGAGTACGGCTCCAGATTTAGGCATTTCTGCTGCATAGCCCACTAAACTGCCGTTTTTCGTCCAAAGACCTGACCTTTAGAGAACATTCCAACTCTGGAAGTCGGATTATATGTCAGAGGATTGATGTGCTGTGGCACTTGGGAGTTTCCATTTAGAAATGAGCTGGCCATGTTCCTGACTATGAGGAGTCACCGCAGACTTTCTCCTCTGACAGTTGTGTTTTTCAGGCAGAAGAATGGAGAAACTTAGTCATTTCGTGCGATACAGAGCTGGATTCGGCTTAACAAGCCATTGGGCCTCAGACAGCTTAACCTTAACCACCAGAACACCAGAATATAAAGTCTATAATCATAATTCCATCATTGTTTTGGTTAGGAAAATCACTTCCTCGAACCCACATAGCCTAACTTGGGATTTTGAAAGTTAATGTCTAGGACCCTGCTGAAAACTGAACACCACCAAGACACCTGCTGTGTTGTCACCAAACAGGAAATTTAGTGTCCTTTGATTATGGATTATTCTGTAACAGACAATAAAAACGTTGTTTAAAATACCCTGTCTTACTAATAAATAAGCCAAACATTAATGCTTTTAGCAAAGACCAAAAAGCATTGATACCTATTGTCAGGCAGCTCTCCTAGTAAATTTGTAAGTGTAAAATGTGGTTTTTTTTTTAAGCAAAATTGACGTGGCTGAGAAGAATGTTCAGTCTGTAAAGTGGCTACCCCACCAGCATAAGGATATGGGTTCAGATCCCCAGAACTCATGCAAAAAGCTGGGGCCGTAATGTGAGCCTGTAACACCAGCCCTGGTGGGGTGGAGACAGGTGGGTCCCTGAAGGTCTTTGGTCACTGGGCTTCAGGCTCATTGAGGGAACTTGTCTCAAATACAACAAAGTGGGGGCCGGCAAGATGGGTCAATGGGTAAAGGTGCTTGCATGCAAGCCTGACAAACATCAGTCTCTGGAATCTATATGCTAGAAAGAGTGAACCAGCTCCTACAAGTTATCCTCTGAGCATCCACACACACATACTCCTAATACAGAAATGTTTGAAAGTGAAGCCATTGAGATGGCTCAGCACAAGCCTGGTGACATAAAAATGTATATACTACTAAAAGATTAATCTGAGAAAGGTTTAAGATATCAAAGTGTTCACAGGTGTTAACAGGAAAAAAAATACGACACGATAGCACATTTAACATGAAGTATATTTCTGCAATAGAGCTTCTCCTGTATCCTGACCTGCTTACCACTCAAGCTGGCAGTGTGAAACTGGGAAAGCAGGCCTAAAAATGAGATGGACTAAAGTCTCATGCAACATCCAACTTTATCAGAGCATCAGGCACTTTATATTCTGAGGACACATGAATAACAACAGCTGAAGTAAACTCACTCCTATCCCCTACACCTGGGAGGAGTATGAAAACACATTCCAAGCACAATTCTGTGTTTTGAAGAAACTGAGGTCACAAGACTCATGTCTTATTTCCTTGGAGTTTTCTCACAAGCACTCAGAATTCCCCTCACATGACTCTATTCGTGGACTATGTTCCGACACTGACCGTGTTATTTGGGGGGAGGGGGAAGAGTTAATTATTGCTGTGTGTGTATAGATGTTTTGTCTACATGTATGTCTGAGCACCATTTACATGCCTGGTGCCCAGAGACCAGAAAAGGATGTTGGCCCCCTGGAACTGGAATTGCGCATAGTTGTGAGCTGTCTGTCACCTACGTGCTGAAAATTGAACCCTGTTCCACTGGAAAAGTACTCTTAAACACTGAGCCACCTCTCCAGTCCCCTGACCGTGCTTTTAAGAACAATTCTAAGGGGTCAGCAACTTCACCCCACATGCCTGACCAGATAGCGGTAGGAGAGTTTTGCCACCATGCTATATCACCTTTTCCTTACTCTGCTATCAGCTGTAACTCCGAGGGAGGCATGTGTCCTAGGCTGGAACTATATCCACATGCTGCCCTTTTCCTTGGTAGTCTTGCTTCCTCCTGTGACCGAGGTAGTGCGTGGGTGATGTAGCCCAGCTATTCTACAGTGATTTGTGTTCATTAACTCAGTAAGTCTTCATGACAATGCTGTAAGATAGATCATATTATTGCCCATAATATGCAGATGAGTAAGCCACGTACCTCACGGCCTTGTGACTTGTAACAGGATTCAAAATCAGATCATTATGACTACACATTTGCTCTACACCATATGTCAACTCCTTGAAAACACAAAATATGTAGCATGATGACTGCATTTTTGAAATAAGAAGGTGCCTCCTACTCTGGCCATGCACCCAACATGAGTATCCTGTCACAACTCAGGGAGTGAGATTATTTTTAGTTTCCCATTAGCTAGATACTTATTTAACAAATACTGTATATCTTCAATGGCTGATTGTGTTGAATAATCTAAATTCAGATTTCATAGTTTACATTCTTAGAATACAAGTACAAGTATGCATGGAACCATCTAATAGAGGTTGGCAGATTGGCCTGTAAGGATGTATTATCGTATTAGGTATGAAGGCACACACTTAGAATACTAGAACTCAGGGTTCTGAGGCAGGAGGATAGAAAGGAAGAGAGGGGTGGGGGAGGGAGGAAGCTTCTCCTGGCTTTGGAAACAATTAAGCTCTTCCTGTGGAAAAGTTTCGAATTCTGCCGCACTGTGCTGAATCTACACATTCATGTGCTCACATAGATATACACACAAATCTACCTGAGTGTTTGACACCAACTTCAGCTTTTGTTTCAGTCTTTTTGTCAGAATCCACACCTTACAGTAACCAAGCTTCTGTCCACTATTGTGTAACTTTACGGGTCTGAACCATTTGTTAGGTGGTATGCGAACTGACCCACAATAAGAATCCTGCAGTATGTCAGGAGTCATGGGGTGGCCACAGGTGTAGCTCGGCATCTAGAAAGTGGATTCAATGCCCAGCACGGAAGAAAAAGACTAGGAGGTTGAGGAGGGAGGGGATGAAGGGAAAGTACTTCAGCCTGCTCACGTGGTTTGCTTAGCAGTCTGTATGTGGCTTCTTTAATCCTCTAACAAAAAGAGTAGCACTCAGTTGCGCCCCCCACCCCACCCCCACTCCCGCCTTTCAGCAATTTCACTCCAGCCAGTCTTGAATCACTTTCTTTTCTTACCAAGCCGTTTCAGGGTCCAGGGTTCACTCAGGCTAAACATTTTGTTTTCAGTCACCTGACTCAGTAGGTGACTACAGGGAACTGCAAAGCCACCTCCCCTATGAGCCCTCTCCAGACCTCTGCTGCCT